AATCCCCAATCTGTCTCGGTCGCCCAACACCAAGTAGAGACACTCCAGCCCTGGTCTCGAAGGGACAGGAAGTCCCGTGAGAGTGATGGAGGCTCAGTGAACCAAAGAGACCACCCCTCCCCTCCCCTCCAGCCGTGAACAGTGCTGGACCATATACCCGGGTGGGCACAATTGGGAGAGGGCAACATCCCCCCCCCTCTCCCGCCCAGGTCTCCGTTATACAGGCCAGGTCAGCCCCCTCATCCACAATCAAGTCATGGATGAGGGCAGATTTGTTATTGGCCGACCTGGCATTAAACAACAGCACCGTCAGGCCCGAGGGGCGACTGACAAGACTCCCTGGCACCTTCTGGCTGGGAGCAAAACCAGAAGTAGGGACAGGTGTCAGCCATCTGTCCCTCCTTCTTCTATGCGGACACGTTAAGCCCCCACCGCTATTACGTCCATTGCCCATCACCACACCAATGGCGGCGCCAGTGCGCTCCCCAGGAAACTCAGGCGGCAACATGGCCAGGGACGACTCCATAAAAACAAGTTAAAAAACTTTAAAATTATAAAACATTTAAAATTGGCCGTTCAACAGAAGGGACTGCCACAACAAAAGAGCAAGTCCCCTGGCCGGCCCAGCCCCCCCCGAACGGCCCCCCCAAACGGCGGCGACCGCCCTTTGGCCGAAGCCCTTCAGCCGCCGGCCCCGGCCGCTGCCGGCGCTTTGTAGCCGCCGGCCGCCCGACGCCCCACCCCGTCCGGGCACACCTGCCACGCGTGCAGGGGCGTGGCAGGGCAGTCAGGTAGCGGCGGAATCGGCGGCGCGGCACGGTCTTCGCGCGGTCTTCGGGCGCGGCGCAGTCTTCGGGCGCAGCACGGTTCTCAGGCGCGGGCGCGGTCTCCTGCCAGGTGTTGTTCCTTTAGCTCCAGCATTAGTTCTGCTGTACCACCTACTGGTGCTGGGGAAGAACATTCTCTGTTACTGTGTATATCTGGGTAAGCAGTTTTTGTACTGGTATGTACCACTGTGTAATCCCCATAGTATCACTATGGTTTCAGCTAGTTCTAAAACTTGTTTTGCACTTCAGGCACAGAAATGTCATGGTGGGTGATTAGTTCCTGCATTATAAAGACACTTTCCGTCATGGGAAACACTGAACTGTGATCAGCGGTACTTTTTTCTTTTTGCCAAAAACTATAGGAGGCATTTCATTTGGTTTGCAGGCCTTTTGAAGATAAAATTGCAAAACTGTTTTAATCACTGGATTTTAAAAATAAATGGGGGGGGAAAAAACAGATGGCCAAGCCATGGCTACAGGTCTACTGGAAAGAACATGATGTGTTTTGGACTTACATGCATCTATTCAGCTGCATTACTTCCTCTGGCCTGAAGGGGGCATTCTGGCCTCATTTATGGCCCTGTGTATTTCCTCTTCTTTGCATTCTACAAGTTCCAATGTTCATCTAGCTATTTTCAAGAAAATAGAAGATGAAGACATATCCTTCCCCACTGCCTGATTCCTCAAGCACTATTCTTTGCTCATCATTTCCTTTACTGGGGCCCAACCTACCTCATGGCTTTCACCAGCTGGAGGAAACTGAGTCAGATCACCCCTCCATCTAGCGCTGTTTTTTCAGCAGTGTCTGGCCACATCTTTCCAGAGTTTCAGGTAGGTTTTTTCACAGCCCGTTCTGCAGATGCCAGAGATGCACTCTGGAAATCCCTGCAAGCAAGGTAGACACTTTGCCAACAAACCAAGGTCCCTTCTGGTGAAGTTTTCTGCTTCAGCTGAAACTGAAGAGGCTTCCTGGAAAATAATGATTTTGGATGCTGAGAGAGAAAGTAAGTGTGTGTGTGTGTGTGTGAGGGTGAAGGAAAGTAGACTGGAGCCTAGGGAGCTGAGCCCAGGAAACGTGATAGACTGCCACTCCTAAAATGGGAGTAATGGACTGAAGGTGCATGAGGCACCTACTATATGGAAGCTAAGCAAGCCTGAGGCTGGCCTGAGCTTGGAGGGGAGACCTCCTGGGAGCCACATGGAGCCAACTTGAGTTCTCCAATGGGAAAAGCTGTGACAAAAATTAAGCAAGTAAGTAGGATTCTGCACAAATCTCTAGTGTCAGTTCTGACCTCTCCCCTTCAACGACCTTGCCTTGCCTGGTACCCATTCCTTGCTTTCTCTGACCGTGCCTTGATCCTGACCCTAGGACCTTTCTCTTGGACATATCCAACTTAAGCCTGCCACTGGACTACACCCGTGTCTTTGACTCTGCTTTGCCTTGCCAGCCTATAACCTCAGCACACCTCTGAATTGTGCCTTTGTGTAGACCTTTCTGGGATCTGACCACAGCCTACTTTTGGACCTGGCTTTGCTCCTGGTCCTGTGGTTCTGATCCTGGTGTTCTTGCAGTAGAGGCAAGTCTCCTGCATCCTGGTGCTTGGCAATGCCCCCCTTCCTCACGGTTTTTCTCGGCTAAACAACCTCAGCTGTTGGGACCCTTTCCTTGTAGCGGACTCCCTTGGATCATTTCCATCGCCTTTCCTGCTCTGTTTCCAACTCTATAATGTCATTTTTCAGGTGTGGTGACCAGGACTGCACACCATTTTCTAAATGCAATTCTGGTCGCCTCATCTGAGTTCAGTTTCACTGCAGATTCATGTAAGGGGAGTATGGGATTGGACATTTTGCTTCCCATGCCTTTTGCAACACAGGCTTTGCCCTTTGCACAGCAGCCACAGGCTGGGTTGACACTTCCACCGAGCTGTCCTCAACCCCACAACCCCACGATCCCACTCTTGGTCAGTGTCGTGCCTGATGGCCCGACAGAGGTGTTGGCTCACGAGAGAGGGCCAGAAGCTCACAGTGAGAGTCAGGCATTGGAGCAGAAAGATTTATACTTGGTGCCCAGGGCTCAAACGGCCCCCTGCAACCTGGCTCTGAGGCTTCCTCGCGAGTAGCCTCCCCGCATTCTGGCTCTGAGTTGCTTGAGCAGGATGCAGCTTCCCTTCCTCTAGACTCAAGTGTTTGAACAAGTTGTCCCCCCATCTCCAGACTCTGAAGCTGCTGTGCTGAGTCCTGGAGAACAGGAAGACGTAACAGGAAATTTATGGAACGCCCAACTTCGGAGAAGATTGCGAAGGCTAGACCAATCGGAACGGCAGGAGAGAAGTTTGTCCCACTCACGGACAGAGAGACGTGAGAGGATGTTGAGGTCCATGTGACTTTCTCTCTCTCAGTTCAGAAAGGAGGGGGCAACTGAGCTGCAAGGAGCTCATTGCCAGAGCTTATCTGTTGCATCGTAAATCTTGTAGCTAATAGCAATAAAAGTCTTTAGTTTTATTGCCGGCTGCTGTGTGAGTTAATTGGAGACGTGAGTTACGGCCTCACGACAGCCAGCCACTGCCAGCTCAGATTCCATACTCAGTGGTGTGGTTCATACCCCCAACTTGCATCACTTTGCACAAGCTTATGAGGAACTGTATGGGCCATCCGAATGGTTTGGAGAGATTATATTGGAGCTCCCCTCAAGTCTTTGGATTTTACCAGCCCTAAACAGTTTGGTGTGATCAACCAACATGAGCTAACAATGTGATGCAGCTGCCAAAAGGGCAAATGCTATTTTGGGATGCATTAACAGAAGTATTACTTCCAAATCACGAGAAGTAGTAGTTCCTCTATACTCCTCACTAGTCAGACCTTATCTGGAATACTGTGTCCGGTTCTGGGCACCAAGATTAAGAAGGATGCAGGAAAATTAGAAAGGGTCCAGAGGAGGGCAACAACAACAATCCAGGGTTTGGAAACACTGCCCTGTGAGGAGAGACTGAGAGAACTGGGCATGTGCAGCTTTGAGAAGAGAAGACTTAGTGGGGACATGATATCCCTCTATGAGTACCTCAAAGACTCTCTTAAAGAGGAAGGTCAAGATCTCTTTTTGCTGATTCCAGAGTGTAGGACACAAAACAGCTGTGACAACCCGGATTCAGGCTGGACATCAGGAAAAGCTTCCTCACTGTCAGAGCAATATGACAGTGGAACCAGCTGCCTGGTTCCACCAGAGGGAGTGGCCTTTCCCACACTGGAGACACTCAAAAAGAAACCAGACAGCCATCTGAGTGGGATGGTGTAACTTGGTGTCCTGAAACAGCAGGGGGTTGGACTCGATGGCCTTCATGGTTCCTTCCAACTCTGCTATTCTATGATTGTATGAACAAACTTGGGCACTTCACCACTCACTTGTAATTCCAGATCATTTATGAATAGGTTGAAAAAGCACTAGTTCTAATACAGAATCCTGTGGGACCCCACTGCTTATATCCCTCCACTGGGAAAAATTACCATTTATTCCCATTCTCTGCCTTCTGTTCTTTAGCCAGTTACTTATCCATAACAAGGATCTTTCCTCTTATTCCATGCCTACTAAGTTTGCTTGGGAGTTTTGGGTGAAGGGCTTTGTCAAAAGCCCTTTGGAAGTCCAAATGAACAAAGTCTACTGTATCATCCTGTCCACAGGGTTATTGACACTCAAAACACTCAGAAAGGTTAGTGCAACACGAGTTACCCTTGCAGCAGCCCTGTTTTTGAGTCCTTTTCAGCTCGACCTATTCTTACAAATTCTTTCCTTAAATTGGCTTTCAACCAATTTACTCAATTTAAGCAAACAGGTTTGTAATTTCCTGGATCGCACCTAGATCCTCTTTCAAACATTGTGATTACATTGGCTGTTCTCCTTTAGAACCTGATCACAGGAAGATGTTAGAGAATTCGCCTGGAAGACTTCTCCTGAATGTGATTGATTCTGTGGCTGAGTGTGAGCCTTGAAGCTCTTGTCATCATTAGACAAGCTCTTGAAGCTCTTGTCATCACTGACATGCACATGGTGGGCATGTCGTGAGTGGAGCCGGCTCGTGCCGGTCAGACTAGATGGCCTGGGAAGCCCCTTCTGACTCGCTCTGCTTCTATGTTTCTGTGAAAACATGGGAGAACCTATCAGGCTGAGGATCTCTCCACCCGGAGGCCTCATGTGCTTTCTGGATAGATGTTCCACTGCTTTGCTTCACTGTGTCTCTTGCACAGTAATACACAGCCGTGTCTGCAGCTGTGAGGGAGCTCAGCTGAAGATACAGCTCATTCTTGGATGTGTCCCTGGTGATGGTGATTCGGCTGCTGAATGCAGGACTGTAGTAAGTGGTTCCTCCTGCAGCGCTGCTCCGAATGCCACCCAGGAACTCCAGCCCTTTCCCTGGTGGCTGCCGGTTCCATACCCAGTAATAACTACTGATTTGGAGCCCAGAGACTGTGCACGTCATTCTGAAGGACTCTCCTGGTTTCACTAGTTCTGGCCCAGACTCGGTCAGCTGAGGACTGGAGAAGATTCCTGTAGAAAGGAACAGCATTGGAATAATAATTTGGATTCTCTTCATGTTGGGACCAGCATTTCTATTTCTCCCATCTCTCCAAGTGTAAATTCTTACCAGGTGAAACACTTAGGAGAACAAGAAAAAGCAACGTGGGTCTCATCTTTCTTTCCTTCTTGTTATCAGTGTTTGACTCCACTGAGCTTGGCAACCAATAGGACTGAGCCAGGCCGTGGAAGGGCATTAGAGGATGCTGTTTAAAAAGGAGCAACCTGCCCAGAACATTTGCATATTGGGAAGGCAGGCCAGCCTTTAAGAAGCAGAGAGGAGAAAGGAGTTACCCTCCCAAGGGGCAGTGGGAGGTAGCAGCTGATTTCAGAATATAGGCTGTTGCACCTTTTGCTCCTCTAGCTTTCAGTCCTTGCTGTCTTGAAGAAGGTCTTTCCTACCCCCTTGCTCCCCTGCCTAGTCTTCCCAGAGTCACCACACACACACTCGCTCAGGTTGCTTGATAAATATTTCATATGGCTGAATGAAATCGGTCCAGGTTAATTCCTCAATCCATATTTGGAGAATTTGGATGGAATGACTTTGGAGATATAGAAAGGAAGGATGACTCACACAGAGCATAGTTGAACTATGGAATTCACTGCCACAGGAAGTAGAGAGGGCCACCAAGTTGGATGGCTTGAAAAAGGGATTGGAGAAATTCATGGAGGAGAAGGCTATCCATAGCTACTAGGCTTGCTGGTTATGTGCTCCCTCCATTGCCACCAGCAGCACACCTGCATACACCAGTTGCTGAGGAGCTTGGGCAGGCTGGACTCTTGTGCCCATCTCACTCTGAGGGACTCCTTGAGCATCTGTTTTTTCCATGGAATGCTGGACTAGATGGAACATTGGTCTGACCAAGAGCAGAACTCTCAATACCTCCCATCTATTGCAGCCCCAGAACCAGCTACTGACGTCAATGCCAGAGGTCACACAGGTGACCTTGAATAACCCTCTGGGGTTCACTGCACCTGGGCTGGACTCAGTTGAAATATGGAGGAGGCTCCTGCAGAAAAGGAACAGAGATGAGAATCTCATGCAGGTGTCTCTTTGTTTGGGATTTGGAGGCTTGGCCCTATGATAAGGGAATCTGAGGAGGCAAGCCTGGGGCAAGATGTTGAGGAGGACATGACTGAGTGTGAAGTTCATATGAGAACAAAGGAATGGAAAGCGAGCCATGCTGGATCATATCAGGGTCCATCTAGTCCAGCTTTCTGTCCACACAATGGCCTACCAGGTGCACATTGGAACCCACAAGTGGGAGAGCACAACACAGGTGCACCAGGACCCTCCTGCCCAAGTTCCCCAGAACTGCCTGTATGAGTGGAATCAGCGTATGAATTGGTCCAGCCCTTCTTAAAGCCATCCAAGTTAGTGGTCATTGTGACATCTTGTGGAGTCTCACCGTTGATGCACTGGGTGAAGAAATACTGCGTCTGTGTGAATGTCCCATCCACCAGCTTCATGGAATGACCCAGCCTTTAGTATTATGAGAGGGACAACAATGTCTCCATCTCTACCTCTTCTAACCACTGAATAATTTTTTGCATATCTACAGATGGGGATAGGATGCCCACATGCTTGAACTTCAGCAAACATCTCGCTCAGTTGCAGCGAAAAAAAAAATTCTTCATGAGCTTTGGCATTCACTCTTCTGGTGCAATGCTGCCATCTGTAGGGCACAAGAGGTATGGAGTATGTCTCTCCTGCTAGTGTACAGTCATTATTATAAATTTTGCAAATGAATGAGCATGCCCTCAGTGATAACTAGTAGCCCTGCATTGCATTCAGTGTATCTCTGGAATACACTGCATCATGCCAAATCCTTGTGTAACAAGAAAGTACTTTAATTCTTTTGGCATGCCGTTCCTTTCCTTCATTTGCACCAGGAAATGGAGAATTTTTTCGGCTTCTAAAATGCCATGCTGGGGCTTTGTAGGCCACGGTTTACATCACAGTTAAGTTCTCTAGGACATATGGAAAGGTGATGAGATTTTTCTCATTCCCATCAATGGAGTGATTGGGTCATTGAGACTGAAGTGTTGTGAAGACCACAAAATCAGGAGATGAGACCCAGGTTCTTTCATGCCAGTGCCCATGCATGTGGCTGTGGTGGAGGTCGGGGTGGTTTTTGCATGGATGCTCCAGTGCTTTGAGACACTGTGTCTCGTGCACAATAATACATTGCAGTGTCTGCAGCTGTGGTGGAGCTCAACTGAAGATACACCTCATTCTTGGATGTGTCCCTGGTGATGCTCGTTCGACTACTGAATGCAGGATTGAGTTGGACGGTTCCTTGGTTTGCAGTGTTGCGGATGAACCCCAGCCACTCCAGCCTCTCCCCTTGAGCCTGCCGGATCCAGTCCCAGTAGTAATCACTGACTTGCACCCCAGAAACGGTGCAGGTCAGTTTGAAGGACCCACCAGGTTTCACCAGCATTGGACTGGACTGGGTGAGCTGTGGGCTGGCACAGAAACCTGAAAGAAAGGGAGAAATTAAGTCACCGTGTGGCCTTCCTAGGTGATGGGGTCCGACAGGTCTGGTTGTCCTCTGAAGACTGACCAGGTGAGATGCTCAGGAGAACAAGACATAGCAGGATGGATTGCATCTTCTCCTCTCTCCCTTGCTAATGGTTGCACAGGAGGGGTAGCACCACAGGTGTGCCTTTAAAGAGGAGGAGCCCAAAGGACATTTGCATAAGCAGTTCCAGTGTAGCATTTATGAAGGAGAGAGGAGCTGGGCTGGTGCATCTCCCCATGTTCCCCAGCCTGAATTCCCCCATGGCACCAGTTGCAAGGCCCCTGGTGCTGCCGCTGCCACTGACACCACAGACGGCAGTGTTGATTTGCATGCCCAGTGCTTGGAAACTGCACCCAGTCAAGAGCAGGATGGTTCACGGTGTCCTTCCATGGGTGGCGCCTCTCCTCTCGGCACGAGAAGGAGGCAGCCTGGACCTCCCCACAGCTATGTTGGCCAGAGAACTAGGCTGGCTGGCTCTTCGGAAAAGCCCACTGCCCTCTGGCTTGCTTGGGGAGTCTCATGGGATGTAGTGAGTTCAGGAAGTTGGTGACAAGACAGTTTGGTCCTGTCCAAACTGGTGTTGGTTTTGTCCAAACTAGTTAGGATGAATGAGACGTAGGGAGGTGTAGGGGTTTGGGAGGACTCCTTTTCAGTTTGCAGATTGCTCTTAGAGGTGTTTGGACTCCTTGAAACAAAGACCAATAAGATGGCATGTTCCTTAGCAGTGTTCCTGAATGCCCAAACCTTCATTTCAAAAACAGTGTAAATACTCAGAATGACTCATTCAAGCTCAGAAGGTGAAAAGCCCAGGCAAGCTGACAGATTAACCCATTTGAATGAACTGGAAGCAGATAAAAAAATTGAAATGGACTGAGTGGAACCACCTTTACAGGGGAAGTCCAGGGAATATTATCAGCTTGAAAGGAAAAGGGGAACAAGGACTCTAAATCAAGTAACAACAGAAAAACAGAAAATGGCAAACAGAAAATCAGTTTGCTATTAGAGGAGGGCTTTTAGGTTATCCTCAACTCTGATGTACATTATGCTGTGAGGGAGCATCTCAAAATCTGAATAATCATCAGAGAAATGCCACGGCACTGAGGACCAGGCACACTGCGCCACCAATAAGCGCAGAATCAGTCCCGTAGTGGAGAGAAACTGCTGAAAGCTCAAGTTGGGTATATGGAATACTGCCACCTACTGGAAATTTCTGGGAGTGCAAGAACAGGATGAGGCTCCTTACAGTGGCCGTGGCAGTGACAAGACTTGCCCCGATTTAGAGGCACCACAACTGATTGTGGTTTCCAATAAGTCGTACGAGTTGTTTCTCATGGCAGTAAATGCTTTGAAAGCAGGACCTCCATGAATCCTACCAAGCGAGAGGCCTAGTCCGGGATAAGCACTGGTTCCTTCTTGACCTGGTCTGATGGCCAAGGGAGATGCCATGATGTGAATGTTTCTCGCTCTGGATACAATTTTCATTCCTTTTCAGTCCTGATTGGAATTCCTGACCCATCTTGTGCCTGCTATTTGTCCTGGAAGGAAAGCTGTTGTTGGTGCCAGTGGAGAAAACCCTGTGCAAAATGGGAAACAGAAATGCAGCTGAAGCTCTGGTCACTTCCTTTGCGTTGTGTGAAAACACTGTAATTCTTTTTGCACCCAGTTGCAGTCCTTCCGTTTCCCCAGGAGGTGTGGCCAGGAGACCCCGTTCTACAATGCCCCACCTAGAGTTTCTAGGACAATGCCTGCAGGAAATCTGTGTTCTCTAGGACTTAGTGACTTCACTGCCCCAAGGTAAGCTGGGTCTGGACCTTGCTAACAAGCACCTGTCGGTACCAACACACCTTTGCTGCATGTTTGGACAGCTGAGAGCACGGGTTTATGCTGCCACAAAGTGAGTAGCAGCAGCGATTTGAAGGCAATGCTGAATGAAGCTACTGATGCTCATGGGGCGAGATGCCCAGGACGTTGTAACCTCGGGATGGAGTGCCAACTTTTCATGAAGCATCATTAATGACTGGTAGCTGGGCTGGTAAACAGCTTGCTTATTGATTATTTATTTACAGTATTCTTATTCAGTCCATGTCTCAGGACGGGTTACAAGATAGTTAAACATAACAATAAATAAACAAAACAAATACAATAAACAAAATACAATAAAGTATAATGTGACTAAGCATGACCATTAAGAACTAGTTAAAATATTTAAGGATTAAAATGTCAGGCAAATAAAAAAGTTTTTACCTGGTGCCGAAAAGAATATAACAGTGGCTCCAGGCGAACCTCTCTGGGGAGCAAGCTTGCCTTGATCAGCTGGACGGAGGCTTTTGTTTGCTGTTTGGGCGCCGATATCTCAGGCAGCCTTTGCTGATGGGCCATGCCAGCAGAATGAGGTCTGCTTCACAGTCCAGCTCATGCTGTGAAACATAAGGAAATTGCTGACATGTCTTCTGTGCACAAGAAAGAGCTTTTCTCTGGGCAAGCAACCCTGGAGCTTGCGTATCATTCCCCTGGAGTCCCAGGGAATACTATCAGCTGACTGGAGGCCTCTAAGGAGGGGAACAGTTATGAGTCTGAAGTGCTGTGAAGCCAAGGAAGATGAGCTCCACCAGTTCGTGAGCCACTTCCCCATTTCTTGCACGGGGACCAGCCTCTCCTTGCTCACTGTGGCTCCCCAGCACAGTAATATACGGCTGTGTCTGCCGCCGTCAGAGAGCTCAGCTGAAGGTAGAGCTGTTTCTGGGATGAGTCAACTGAGATGGTCATCCGGTCTTGGAGAGACGGAGCATAGAGTGCAACTCTTTCACGGTCTTCAGAAAGAATGTTCACCGCAGTTGTTCCCAACCATTCCAGGCCTTTTCCTGGGGGCTGCCGGATCCAGCTCCAAGCGTAATCATCAAGCTTTGCATAAGCACGAGAAAATGTGACGGAACATGTCAGGCGGAGGTTCTCTCCCGGTTTCACCAGTCCTGGCCCAGATTCGATGAGCTGCACGTCTGCCAGGACATCTTCGCAAAGAAATCAGAAATGAGAAAAAAAATGTTACAGTTATGCGCAGAGAGCAATATGAAATACTTGCACGGCTTGGGTCTCCATGGAGAACATTCTACGTCATGTGGCGGATGAATTGGATGGAGACGGGGATGCTGACCGAGCAGATGCTAAGATGGAGAAAGGATCTCACTCAAGTCCCCTTGGGTTGATTGGGACCGTGTGTGTACAGAGCGAAGTGTGAGAGACCCATGGAGGTCCATGTCCTCCTGGGACATTCCATATGGGAAACCAGGGAAAATACTTACAGGTTAGGGGAACTGCTAAGTAGATCAAAGACCAGGTGAGGACATTCATGGTGCCCTCCGGTGCTTCCCTGCCTTTTCCCTGCCTCCCTTATATGGCCTGATGTGCGATCAGAGAACCAGAATGTCTCCTTCACTTGGCCGTCTGCACTTAAGAAGGGGACAGGTGGGGACGAATTTGCATGTGCTTGTGACTCAGGAGGTGCAAGTGGCTACAATCATGAATAAAATGCTCTCCCCCTCCCTCTCTCTCCCTCAGTGTGTGGGTATGCATGTGTGTGTGCGTACGCTGCCCCCTTTCCATTCAGTAGAACTTCACCGACCACAGGAGCTTTATTTACGGGATGGTTTACAACAACTCCAGGAAATTAACATAAAGAGATAAATGTAGCACAGCATCCAATAATAAATATAGAAAGCACAGATTAAAATAATGGGAAAATAAAAAGGTTTTCACCTGGCACCAGAAGGAAAAAAAGCGTTGGTATCAGGCGAACTGCTTTGGGGAGCGTGTTGCACAGTCGGGGTGCCACCACAGAGAAGGCCATCCTCCAGGTACTCTCCCTACTAATTTCCTTCAAGGAGGAATCCCGGAGTAGGACCTCTTACTCAAGGGGTGGGAGGGCACATAGGGGAGAAGGCACCCCTCCAGATATCCAGGGCCCAAACCGTTTATGGCTTTATAGGTCATCACCAGCACCTTAAATTTGGTCTGGACTTCAGTTGGTAGCCAGTGTAAGCAGAAAAGGACTATATGTGAATACCTTCTGGTTCCCGTTAATGTCCTGGCAGCTCTGTTCTGTAGCAACTGAAGTATCCGGACCGTCTTTAAGGGCAGACCCATGTAGAGTGTGTTACAATGATCCATTTGGGAAGTTACCATAGGACAAGTCACTGTTGTAAGGCAATGCTCATCGAGGTAAGGGCGCAGTTGGTAGATCAGCCAAAGCTGAAGGAAAGCACTCCTCGCCACTGCTGCCCCGAGTTTGCACGGACAGCTCTGCATCGAGGAGCACTCCCAAACTGTGCACCCTGTCGTTTAGGAGGAGTGCAACCCCGTCCAGAACAGGGCAGATGTCACTCACCTGGCGGGCTGAACCACCTACCAGCAGGACCTCCGTCTTATCTGGATAAAGCTTCAGTTTGTTGACCCTCATCCCCCTCATTACCCCGGCAAGGCACTGGTTAAGGACAGCCACTGCCTCTCCCGGAGAAGATGCTAAAGAGAGGTGGAGCTGGGTGTCATCAGCATGCTGATGGCTCTGCAGCTCAAATTCTCCAGGTGACCTCTCCCAGCTGTTTCATTTATCTATTTATGTATTTTTCGATTTATGTCCTGCCTTTTTCCTACAAAGGGCTCAAGGCAGCTTACATTTCCTCCTCCATCTTATCCCCACAACAACAGCAACCCTGTGAGGTAGGTTGGGCTGAGAGGCTGTGACTGGCCCAAAGTCACCCAGTTGGCTCCATGGTGAGCGGGGACTCGAACCTAGATTGTCTGAGTCCTAGTCCCATGCTCTTCACCACTGCACCACACTGGCTTTAACATTTAGATGTTAAAAAGCATGGGGGATAAAATGGGACCCTGTGGAACATCATGGAAAGGTTGCCATGGTGCGGAGCCATAGTCTCCCAGCACCACCTTCTGGAATTGTCCAGACAGGTAGGAAGGGAACAACTGCAGAGAAGTGCCTACAACTCCCAACCCAGCCAGCCTGTCCAGAAGGGTACCATGGCCGATGGTTTTGAAAGCTGCTGAGAGGTCCAGGAGAAGCAACGGGGACACACCCTCCCTGTCCCTCTCCCTGCACAGGTTATCATACAGGGCGACCATGAAAGTTTTCATTCCATAGCCAGACATGAAGCAAGATTGAAATAGGTCAAGATGACTTGTCTCCTCCAAGAGCGCCTGCAGTTGTCCGGCCACCACCTACTCCACCGCTTGCCCAAAAACGGGATATTAGCCACCGGCAATTGGCAGCTATGTCTGGGTCCAGGGATGCTCTCTTCAGGACAGGCCTGACCACCACCTTTCCTCAAAGGGACAGGGACCCACCTTATCAGCTCATAGAGGAGCTGATAACCTCCTGGACCCAGGTGCATATCCCCTCATTGGCTCTGATGAAAGCTTTTCTCCATGACAGACAAGAACCAGTTTCAAAGGAACAGTCATTCCCTAGGAACTGTAAGAAAAGAATAAGGAGGAGCCTCACTAAATCCCAGTTCTCATGACGCAGAGGCCAAAGCTGGGGGTGGGGGTTGTATTTCCCTTCTTTCCTTCCTCCAAGAATCTACTTCCATCCTCAGTTCCCCACACCTGTTCCTTTGCTCAGAGAGAATCTGCGAGGCAGGGCTGGTGGCCATCAAAAGTGAGGTGATTGTGAGAGGGGAAAGCCCAGTGTTTGTCCTCCATTGGGACAAAACAGGTGCCAACTTGGAATGATGCATTCAGGAGGTCCTGCGTAGGACCTCTGTGCATGGAGGAAGCATGAGAGGGAATGAGCATGACAGCAGAAGGCGAGCCATGCTGGATCGGGCCAAGGGTTCTTCCAAGCCAGTGCCCATGCATGTGGATGTGGTGCAGGTCGGGGTGGTTTTTGCATGGATGCTCCAGTGCTTTAAGTCACCTTGCCTTGTGCACAATAATATATTGCAGTGTCTGCAGCTGTGAGGGAGCTCAACTGAAGAAACACCTCATTCTTGGATGTGTCCCTGGAGATGTTCATTTGACTACTGAATGCAGGATTGAGTTGGACGGTTCCTTGGTTTGCAGTGTTGCGGATGTACCCCAAGGACTCCAGCCCTTTTCCTTGAGCCTGCCAGATCCACTGCCAGTAGTAATCACTGACTTGTACCCCAGAAACAGTGCAGGTCAGTTTAAAGGACCCACTGGGGTTCACCAGCATTGGACTGGACTGGGTGAGCTGCGGGCTGGCAAAGACACCTGAAAGAAAGGGAGAAATTAAGTCACCATGTGGCCTTCCTTGGTGATGGGGTTCGACACATCGGGTTCTCACCTGAAGAAGAATGTCTCACCAGGTGAGATGCTCAGGAGAACAAGACATAGCAGGATGGATTGCATCTTCTCCTCTCTCCCTTGCTAATGGTTGCACAGGAGGGGTAGCACCACAGGTGTGCCTTTAAAGAGGAGGAGCCCGAAGGAGGACTTTTGCATAAGCGGTTCCAGTGCAGCATGTTCCCCAGCCTGAATTCCCCCAAGGCAGTATTGGCAAGGCCCCTGGTGCTACTGCTGCCATCGCTACCTACAGCTTTGTTGGTTTCCAGTGCTTGGAAAGTGCACCTAGTCAAGAGCTGTGTGGTTCATGATTGTTTCCAAGACAAAGAAAGGGGAATCAGCTGAGTTCTACTCCAACTGTGCCCATGAAAGTGCACAGCCCTGATGGGGTCTGTGGGCTGTGATCCTCACACTGGACCTCCAATGCACTGATGGGAAACAGTGCCTAGAAATTTGCAGAATTTTCAGAATTGCCCACCCTGGCGCTACGGCTTGGGAGTGTCTGTTCCAGAAGCTAACTGAGTGGTGTCATCTACCACTTGGTACCTGGGCACAATTGAAGGTTCCGTTTACCATGATTCTGAAAGCCCACCTGGATGGAGGGCTGTGGAAAATCTTCTCAGTTTTTAGATTGGTCTGGTAGGTCCTTTTGTACTCCGGAACATGAAGATGAATAGGATGGCATGTTCTTTAACAGTGTTCCTGAATGTCCAAACTTTCAATTCCAAAACATATACTTGAAAAATGCATGACTTACTGAAACTCAGAAGGTGAAAAACATGGGCAAAACTGACAAATTAACCTGTTTGAATGAAACAAAAGCAGGTTAAAAAAGAGAAATCGAGTCAATGAAAGCACATTTACAGGGGAAGTGCAGGAAATATCATCAGCTTGAAAGAAAAATGAGAAAAAGTACTCTAATAAAAGGAAAAATAGACAGAAAAGTACAAACAGAAAATCAGTTTGCTTGTAGAGGAGGGCTTTTTTTTTTTTTTTTTTTTTGGCTACTCTCAACTCTGATCAACAATATGCTGTGAGGGAGCATCCCAAAATCCAAGCAGTCATCCTCTATTGCTCAGTTACACCCAGCATTCACTGCAGTTGAACGGTAGTGCTGCAAACTGATTTAAGATGCATCATGCACTGCTCCTCTTTCTCTCTGGGCAAGAGCAGGGAGAAATCTTTTTGACTTTGCAAACAGCATTACACATGAGAAGCTGTGCAGGTGGCTGAGCCCTCCTGTGGTTTGTGTCGGGATGCCCCAGAGCCTTGCATTACTGTGCGCTGCCGAACTCGAGTACAGAAATACGTTGCGGTATCTGCAGCCGTCACAGATCGCAACTCAAGGTAGAATTCATTCCTGGAAGTGTCCCTGGTGATGCTGATCCGATTGCTAAACACAGCATTGTAGAAGGGTTTCCCACCATTTACAGAGTTCTCAATGCTTCCCATCCATTGCAGCGCTTTCCCTGGAAGCTGCCGGTTCCAGCCCCAGAACCAACCACCAACTTCAACTCCAGAAACCACACAGGTGAGCTTGAATGTCCCTCCAGGGTTCACCACACCTGGGCCAGACTCAGTCAGCTGAATACTGGAAGAGGCTGTTGCAGAAATGAAACAGAGATGAGAATCTCACACAGGAATCCCTTCGTGTTGGATTCATAGGTTTGGGTCCTGGGTGAAGGATATCTGAGGAGGTTCATGGAAGGAGTACTCTTTGCTCCCTCCTCACTCTAAACTGCTTGGACCTAGGCCATATCTGGCATCTTTTCTCTCTCCCCCATCTACACATGGTGCCTTCTAATGTCCCCAAGAAGTCCCTTGGAAGAGGAGCTTGATGCCATCATGTGGGGGAGATGAAAAACTTTATTCTTTATTCCCTTGGACTGCAAGGAGATCAAACCAGTCAGTCCTAGAGGAGATCAACCCTGACTGCTCTTTAGAAGGCCAGATACTGAAGATGAAGCTCAAATACTTTGGCCACCTAATGAGAAGGAAGGACTCACTGGAGAAGACCCTGATGCTGGGAACAACTGATGGCAAAAGGAGAGGGGGATGGCAGAGGTTGAGGTGGCTGGGTGGGGCCATTGGTGTGGTGGTTGTGGGGTTGGGTGGCCTCCAGGAAACAGTGGAGGACAGCAGAGCTATAGCCCAGGGGTCACAAAGAGTTGGACATGACTTTGCGACGAAACACCACCACCACCAGCAAACAGTAATATTACTTTAGGCTCTGTGCCATAATTCAAGGCAAAAATCCTCACCTGAGAAGCAGCACAGTAAGAAGAGGAAATGCAAGACGGAGTTCATCTCCTTTCCTTCTTTTCCCATGAGTCTTCTGTCCTTCTTTCCTCCAGAACAGCTTGGACTTGGCCAGGCCATTCTGCACCCCTGGATTCTTATTCTTAAGCACAGGAAGTCTCCTGGGCTGATTTACATAAAGCACCATGGAAGATTTTACATAAAGTCAGTGCAGTGTAGTGGTTAAGAGTGTGAGCCTGGGACCCAGAAGATTTGCGTTCTAGTCCGCACTCAGCCATGGAGCTCACTGGGTGACTTTGGGCAGTCACAGATACTTAGCCCCACCTACCTCACAGGGATGTTCTGAGGATTGAGAGAAGGAGAGCTATGTAAGCTGCCTTGAGTTCTTTGGAAGAAAAAGGGCAGGATGTAAAATAAAACAAAACACAAGTCGCAGCTCATTCTTTGCCATAGAATGCCCTGGTACCTCTTCCTAGCATCATCCTAAGGGCTTGAAGCAGTGAATGCTGGCTTGACTTTTAACATTTTCAAAAAGAAGGGGCAGAAAAGAAGAAAGTTCTCAGTCCATGATTCATATGAGCTGTCCTATTCTTCCACTCCCTCCAACAAAAACTGTCCAAGACTGTCAGCTGACCTCCTTCTGTCCCTTTCCTGGCCTTCAGGCAGTTCTTTGCCACCAGCCCCCGGTGTCAAGACAGAGATAGCGTGCATGTTTGATCTGTACTCGTTTCTGCATCTCTTCATGTCAGAGCGTGTCACAACACAGTGGTAACACACTGCAGTTGTGTCAGACATCTGCAATCTGAAATAAGGTTTTGTACACATTTCTCAGCGATCTACTCAGTATCTTCCCCCACTCCTCACAAGGACCGGCACCTTTTCCAGCGAATAGTTGACAAGAAAGCCAAACCCCACGTTTTCCAGCTATTTTCCAGTGACAAGTAGAGTTTGTATCATGTTGTTATGATTTGTAATAGTTTACTGCCTTGTCTCACTGGTCCTCATGTATTTATTTATGAAATGTGTATCCTGCCTTTTTCTCTTTTAAAGAACTCAACCAGCTTTCACCATCCTCATTCTCCTCCTCCATTTTATCCCCACAACAGCAACCCTGTGAGGTAGGTTGGGCTGAGAGTTTGTGACTGGCCCAAAGTCATCCAGTTGGCTCCATGCTGAGAGGGGACTAGAACTCAGATCCCTTGAGTCCCCATCCCGTGCTCTTAATCACAACGCCATAGTTGGCACCGTTCTTTTCACTAGTAGCAGCTGTCAAGCATTTGAGCTGAAGGTAAAGGAAGATTCAAAGTAGGATGGCCTCAATTTTTCCACTTTTGCTTTTAGGGAAAGCTCTGGCTTGATTTGATCTAAGAACCACTTTTATTTGTCTTTCTGTCGTTCCATGTTTTGAATGTTTTGATTTTCTTCCTGTCAGATTTTTGGAGTCTAGATTTCACACCAATACATAGTAACTGGGAATACAATAGTGTGGATGTTCTTGACTTGGTCCCCCATGAAACATCCTTAGATGTGATGAACTTTTATAGTTCCTTCATGGTGGGTCTTCCAAATCTCAGTCTTCTTCGAAGTTCTGCAATCTCCATTTGAAATGAAGACTGATCTTCTACATCTTCCTATATTACCCTCAGGGTTTGCTGTCCTTTCTTTAACCTGGCCCTTTAGGTAGTAGACTCCCTGCTCCTGCTTCTACCTAGCTGGGCATCTTTCTCCATTAAAATTCTCCAACCATATTATCAAAGTGGTCAGATGCAGAACAAGGTGAGTTAAGAAATGAAAAGTTAAGAGAGTGAGAAAGTAAAGGATGATATGGAAAAAGCAATTTCACAGTTTTGTACCAGCTATTATGAATGTCTTAGAGGGTCTGTACTTAATATCATATGCATATTCACCCATCGTTATTTGTTTTTCGGAGACAGGCTAAGACCTTTTTAGTCCAACAATATTTTAATAACTTTTAATATTAGCTATATATGTTTTAATCTGCAGCCAGGGTGGATTTGGAATGTATTTGTATTATGTTTTATATTATTATTCTTATTTATTTATGTAAGCCAACCTGAGGCTTTGCAAAAGGACGGCATATAAATATTCTAAATAAATAAATAAATAAACAAATAAATAAATATTAGTTGCTTAGTTTATCGGTAATCGTTCTCAGTTTATTTGACTGCAACTGTGTCTGCTTTATCAACCATTTGTTGAGAGCACAATTCTTATTTGAACTTTTTGGGCTGATTAATCCAAGTTGAGTCTGGAATTGGAAATTTGTTTAACACAAATTCTGATGAATGAGAGAGAAAAACATCCAATAATGGAAAAGTATTTGGGAAAACCCACACTTGGAATTGGCTCCCGTTGGGACTCTGATTTCCACTGCAAAATGTTCTGCAGCAAGGGAGTTGGATAAAACCCAACATCTTTACATTCAAGTGATAATTCAATGGAAGAACAGCTGAAGTTTTGAGGACCGCGGCCAGTACCAACACAAGCAGCAGTGCTTCAGGAAGAAAACAGCAAAAGTTTTATTTATTTATTGAGGCTTCCACTTGTTGAGATACAACTAGGAGTGTCTAGCTTTCATGGTAACAGGAAATGACTCAACAGAGAAAACACTATCTTAGGGTTACCACCCCAACCCCACTTTACAGAAAGCTCAAATTTATCAGGCTACTGCGTGGTTCATATTAGTCCTGAATGAACATCTGCTGATGTTCCATCTCCCCTGTTAAATTTCCTTTTCAGCTATGGTCCAATGCTTCCACCCCTCTGGGGAGTACAGCCCAGACATTTCAGTGCTCACATGGGGTCTTAGTGATGCCCACTGGTGATGCAGTTCAGGGTACTCTTGTTGGGACTTAGGTTGAAATGTGGTGTGTTGGTGTTTTTGTGTGGATGAGAAAACTGTTGCTCCCTGGATAGTATGAAGATCCCCAAGACTAAGTCATGAAATCCAGGATTGGCCAGTGCTGCTAAAGAGCTGCAGCGGCACTTGCTTTCTCCATCCTACTACCCTCCAAATGTATGAGCTTATAACTCTCAGGCAGTTGGAGAATACCCTTTGGAGTGCCACCCAAGACACCTGGAGGACATCAGGTGTAGGAAAATTGGGTTGTGCAGAGACACATTTTCCAAGGAGCCCTTGATATGTTGCCGGGGAAAGTGCATGCCCACCCTCATTTTTTTGCTGGGATAATGGATGCAGGACTAGCACTTATGCAAGCTGGAGAACGTTTTAATCTCCCTAGTCAGATGTAAACAACAGGAATCATTGGTAGACAGAGCATGGTTTCTGGATGAAGGCTCTATTGCTTTGCTTCAGAGTGTCCCTTGCACAATAATACATCGCCGTGTCTGCAGCTGACAGAGAGTTCAGCTGAAGATACACTTCATTTTTGGACATGTCCCTGGTGATAATGGTTCGACTGCTCAGTGCGGGATTATAGTAAGCTGTCCCTCCATAAGAGGTGCTCCGAATGTTGCCCAGCCATTCCAGAGTTTTCCCTGGAGGCTGTCGGAGCCAGGCCCAGTAATAACTACCGACTTGCACACCGGAGACAGTGCAAGTCTGTTTAAAGGACTCTCCTGGTTTCACCAATCCCGGGCCAGACTGGGTCAGCTGCGGACTTGAGAAGATGCCTGCAGGAAAGGAAAGGAATAGACCTGTCATCTCCTTTCTCTTTGGGTTGTATTCTACATTTTTCTGTTTACTTCATTCTTGAATCCTTACCAGGTGGGATGCTTAGAAGGATGAAAAAAAGCAACTGGGAGCTCATCTCTTCCTTGCTTCCTTTCTTCTTCTCTATCTTTGAACAGAACTGGCAGGATGAAGGCAGGCTATGGAGCAGTGCCAGGTAATGCTATTTAAGAAGATGGGCTAGGAGATTTGCATAGCGGAAGTCCAGTTCAGCCGTGCATCACAGAAACAGAGAGTTTAAAAGGAGGCATTTTTAATGGAAAGCTCCAAGCAAGGCATAGCAGACAGTGTTGGCATCTTCTCTGGCCCCTTTTTTATTTCTTTAGCTTCCATCACAGGTTTGTCTTTTATGTGTCTAGCAACCCTTGCTTGCCTTGCTCTCCTTTGTTTCTGCAGGTTAGTTTTTTTCTTTGCGTTGCTTTTTTCCTGGGCATTTGCACCTCAGTTGGCAAAGGAATATTTTTTAAAGAAAATATACAAGTTCGTTGACTGCCCCCATCTCAGACCATGGAGGTTTTAGGGGACATTCCTGCAGTTTAAAGCCATGGTGGTCTTTATGCATTTCGAACCAGCAGTGCTGTTGACCAAACACAACTGTATGGCCATCCGTTCGACTGGGGACCCAGGAGATCTGGGTTCTAGTCCCCGCTTGGCCATGAAGCTCGCTGAGTGGCTTTGGGCCAGTCTTTGCCTCTCCTAACCTATCTCACAGGGTTGGTGCTCAAAGCAATGGGTAGAACTTTCATTGGTTAAATCATGTGGTTATTGGCACAGAACCAGGCCTGAGAAAAACCCTCATTTCCAGAAAACAGCTTATGCGCATCCTTGAAATGCAGCTGACACTGACCAGGCAGAGAAAGCTCATTGGCACTTGACAGATACAACTAACAACAGCTCAAACAAAGGGCAGTTCATGCCGGCCCACGACATCCTCGTCCTCTTCTGTGTAGTAGCACCCCATCCTCCCCTCTTTTTCAGAGGATCTTCTTTGGTATGCAAGTTGGAAAGATGGTGCCTTGTAACCTTTTGCTTCTGTTACCTATTAGACATCTAATGAGAAGGAAGGGCTCCCTGGAGAAGAGCCTAATGCTGGGAACAATTGACGGGAAAAGAAAGGGATGGCGGAGGATGAGGTGGCTAGATGGAGTCACTGAAGCAGTTGGTGTGAGCTTGAGTGGACTCCAGGGGATGGTGGAGGACAGGAAGGCCTGGAGGAATGTTGTCCATGGGGTTGCAATGGGTTGGACGGGACTTTGCAACTAACAACAACAACAACCTATTAGAAAATGTTTACTGTGCTATAAGTAACCCTTTAATGATCAATGTATAAAAGGTCCAATGGGGGACTGCTCAGGTGCTCCACCTGGAATGATTTGTTGGTAGCTGGTAATTCTTGAGAATAAATCCTTTAAAAGAAATCTTTCCCTGTTGTGTATTTTGGGACGGGAAGGCACATACATTTTCTGCTTGTAGGAGATAGATTTCACCTGTATTGATTTTTTCCAATAATAAAACTAAAGGAAAGTCACTTTCTCATGCATTTAAAGCTCACTGAGGTATCATGAATGGCATCCTGTTTTCATTTCAGGAGATCCCATGTTCATTTATTTCATTTCTGAGGAAACGGAACCCTGATTCATTGCTCCGACTATCTCGCAAAAGCTAACTCTATTTATTGCAAAGTGCGGCTCACCCCACCCCCCGGCCCACCAGCCTCAAGGGCATTGGCCAACTTCCTGCTTAAACTCTGCGGGGAAATGGAAAGAAAGCAGGTTTCCTGTACATGGTGACTTTTGGATTTGCTGGGCATCTCTGCATGGCCATCTGGCTGGCAAGACTCAGAGAGCAAACAGAGCATCACAAAGATGGAGATTCAACATTAAGGGAGCAATTCTGTGATCCCCAGACGGTGTCTGAGGGACCACAGGATATTTTTGATTCCCAGTTTTGAGGCTGGAGAGAGCACCCCAGTGTGGAATAGGAAATTCAAACTCTGACACCTCCCCATCTTGGAAAGAATGACTTGAACTGCTCTCCATGGTCAGGAATTATTCTATGAATGCAACCTAGGAGAATCCAATGAACCTCTCTGCACATGCTCAGAGATGTCGATCATTTGGGGTGTTTGTGCTTCTGGGAGATGCTTTGGTCAGTAAAGAACTTTGTGCAATGAAGCTCTGTTGCTTGAATGTGTGAAGGAAACAACTAGCTCATGTTTTCGCATCATAAGAATTGTGTAGATTGTACCCAAAATAGTGGAATAAGCCAACAGGGAAATCATCACAGAAGATCTGAATTAGGGGCATGGATTTCATATGATCAAGAACTCATGGAGGAACTCATTTCCCTCTTTGCAGGCAAATGAAGTGACCAAGTGTCCCAATTTATTATTCCATGCATTATCCCTCAGCGTTTCTCATCTTTCTAACTGACATCACAGACAGTTATAAACTTCTTTCTTAGTCTGTGGGGAGAAACAGAAATAAATCAGGCTTCCTGGCCAAGATTGGATGTGGATTCTGCAGGAAATACTCTTGTCAGCTTTATGCTCTCATGCGTTTTGTTCCTTACAGTTGCCGGAACATGTCACAATGTAAACGGTCTTTTATTTTTGAGGTATGGCTCTGTGCTTGATGGCTTTTAAAAGGCATGACTTGGTTTGCTTTCAAAATTGTTATGCTTTGTGCGAGAGGAGCTGCAAATAAGATCTGCTTACATCTATCTAAGGAGGTCAAAGAAATCCAAGATGGGCTTAAATGAGCTCAAATTCTTAACAACTTGACTTACAGAGTTATGTGGGCTTGGCAGATTTAGAAACCCATTTTGTTGCTTTCCATAATTTTGCACAAATTCAAAAGTATAATAATAATGGACCACTAAAAATTGTGCACTTCTCCCATAGCATGAAATGTGCAAATATGTGTTTGGGGAAGGTTTGCACATGTGAAAGGGGCAGCAAATTTGCACAGCGCTGGATTTCTGCAAATGCATCTGAGTGCGTTTAAGCAAAATCTGATTCCATCAACGGATGAAGAATGGAATGGAGGATGGTTGACAATCCACAAAATGCAGATGGAATGGATTGGACAACATCTGGGTATCCCTACATCTATTGCACCAAGATGGTAAGGTGTACTTCTTGTGAGTCCATGTTTGTGCGTGTGTTTTTGTGTTACCTGAAGTCATCATAGCATGCCTTAGCTAATGCGTGGATGACAGACATGCTTTGCATCCCTGCTTTTTGCTTGCGAGTCTCTCCTCTCCTGTCTTGCCCTGATGTTCCCTGCATCAGACGCATAGCCGTGAAGCAGTGTTGTGGTGTGCGGAGACAAATGAGTATGTGAAACCTGGAAGAGCTTGGTTCAAATCCTCCTCATCCAGGATCAATTCACTGAGCCAGTTTCTCTCAGCCTGAATGGGAGCGAATCAATAGGGGGTGCACAACAGCTAAATGCATTCTTAGGGAATAAAATTAGATAATTCTGTATGAGTCAGCATTAGGACCCTGAAGCAGAGACGACTAAAAGCCCCTGCACTTATTGAAAATTCCGTATTTTTCTCAGGCTCTGATGTATTGTATTTCTGATGTATTTCTTCATTGTATTCCTTTATCCAAGGCAACATATGACACGTTCTGCACATTTTCTGATATGGAGCATGGTGGTGGAGATGCATATTTGTACTTCTGGGAATCGCTGTGCTCCCCGGTCTTCCCACAGTGATACAAACTGTGACAAAAACCTCTGTTCTGGAACAGAGCTGAAAACAGCCATGGGGTGACTCAGAATGAGGAGAAAGGTTGGATCATAGAGGTCCTGGCATGCTTCCAGCTATCATGTCAAAAACACTGTGTGTGTGTATGTGTGTGTGTGTGTATACACCCATGCACAGATTAAAATAGAACATAGCTATCTGATTTCTGCATGGATAGCTATTGGGGTTTCTGGATAAATAGTTGAATATAGAAGATTGAGAATATTTAGGAAATCAAATACTGAAGTGATGCTTAAGAATGTGAATTCTTACCTGCTACCAAAATTCAGATTTGTGCAATTTTATTCTAAGTGCAATAGACTAAAATGGGGCTCATTCAGCCTTCAGGGGCAATTTGTGCAAAACAGGAAATTTGCGCAATCTAAATTGGGAGACTTGGACATTGAGAAACTGAATGCAAACTGTTTGTGAACTTTTCCAGCAGATGTGCTTGTGGTCATGATAGTGTTTGGGGCTTCAAGCCTTGCTTATATTTTGCTGGCAGAAATGAAATTCTCGAATCTTTCTACCCATCACACTAAACACGTATCCTGCCTGTCTACACTGCATAAGCATCTTCTGCAGGTTTTAATATACTTCTCCAAGGTCACGATGGGTTAGTTCCAAGTTTACACTGGGTCAAGGGTGCTGGTAGAAGTGGCCTTCTCCACCCTCTTCTTCCCACTACAACCTTTCCAGAGAGACTCAGGAGATCCTGGAGGGTCTGGAGATTCTGCTGAAATGGCTGAGCTGCTTGTGATCTTCCAGATGTCTTGGACCAGAACTACCATCAGCTCTAGCCAGGGCTGATGTTTGAAGGCTCAAACATCTGGACCTTAAGGAGACCATCACAAGCCATTTTTTAAAAAATCTGTATATTATGAATGGCAGGTGTTTTGGCCTCTGTTTCTTCCCATTGGACATGCTTGCTTTGGTGGACCATTTTGGGGACCACACGTCCCTTTCCCCCAGACTATGCTGACTTGCGGTGCCAGAGGAATCCTTGCCAACCATACAAAAAGATGCCAGAAACCGCATTGAGCTCCTTCTGCATAGCATGTACTTCACCAGTGAATTGGAGTTCCTTCCCTTTAGTTGTGTTCTCTAACAACCTTTCAAGCAGATCAGACTGACAGACTGTGACTGGCCCAGACTTCTCCAGCCATCTATTTGCTGGAGCCCTGCTTTGCCAGCTGGGGTGAATTGCCAGTTCTAACTCCTTGGGCCCTTCTTTACTTCCCTTTTCTGTCCAAGATCCTGCCTTAATCTGTCCCACTGTGTGTCTTGCATGGTAACACACAACAGTGTCTTCAGCCACCACAGAGCTCAGA